CATGTGCTACTTCTTCTTGTGCTACTGGGTCTTTTGGTTTACTTAAGATATTTTGGAGTGATTTGCTAAATCAGTCCAAAATATCTTAAGTAAACCAAAAGACCCAGTAGCACAAGAAGAAGTAGCACATGAAGTTCTACTTCATGCAGATATTTAGGTGTACCTATGCTTATCAGCCTGAGTAGAAGCTATTCTAAACATGGAGGTTCAGTTTCACTATTTGACCATTAAGCATCGATAACCATTAACCTTTGTTTACTGTTAGGTGATAGAACATTGCTTTATGCCAGGTCAACAAAAATTTGATCCCTGTAGCCTAGTATTTCTTGCACTTTACCATGAATTTAGGCAAAGTACCTTCCCTTCATTTAGTATCTAAGGTATTTTAAATGAAAATCACAATGCTTATACCTCGGATCTTGTATATGAAAAGAGCTGAGCTGTGAATTTCCCCTATGCTTACAAACTCAGCTTTTCCTAGTAAATTGCCTCCTAGTTGTATCTGTTATCTCTTGCCCAAAAAGTCTATTATAAGAAAAGTATTATGTAAGAGTCTATTAAAAAATAAATTAAAAAAATTCAACAGCAATCAATAAAATTAATAAAAAAGCTTCAACAGCAATCCAAATATCAAAGTTGGGAAAAAGAACAGCACATAACTACATTAATAGTGTTGAAGAATGCAAATTATGCAAGATAGTACAGAGGAAGAACATTTGAATTAATCATAGTGCTTTGCAGCATAAAGTATCAATTTTTCTGACTAAGAGAGAATATCAGGAGCTATCAATATACCCTTGTTATAGACTGACTTTTTAACAATTTATGTATAAAATTAAATGGCTGCTTCTATCTAGCACTAGAATGTATTAACAGAAGATCTGAGCACGAGCAGTTCCAAGTATGTGCCATATTTGTTCTTCAGTTGAAAAATCAGCTAGATCTTCTTCTGCAACTCCCCAATAATTCATCATTCTCATGAAGATACAACAGAAACCTCTTCCATAGCAACTGAATTGTTCCACTCACTGGCATTATCTTGAG